AATATACACAATATAGGTCAAATTTAGTTTCAAAAAAAAAATTATGATTCCACACATACAATACTAAACATAGTTATCAAACCCTAAACCAAAGAATATAATGACTAACTTACATTCACTCATCTATATTGAAAACAATTTAATTTTATTACTTTTAAAATTATATCATTTACAAATGTCTATAATTAGATGATTATGATTTTTTCCATATCAAAATATTTTTTATGAAATTTATAAATTATTTTTAAGATCTACAGCATGAGAAAATTTTCAAGTAAATATTCTCATGAGAAATCTTCTCATGTGAAGACTTTCCTCACTCACAAGACTATAATAGTAAACTACAATCAAGTTTTCTTGTTTGGTCATAAGAAAATGTTTGTAATTTCACTAACCTTTTGACTTACTTTTGCATTTGATATAAGTTGGGATAAATTTTTACATTCAAAATTAAGTTTTGAGTCATATTTGGTAAATCCCCCTTTTGAAATTTATTTATTAATTAAAAAATACTGGGTTACTTTTAAGATTTATTTATAATAAAACAATAAATATTTCTAATATTACTAATTTATTATAAAATAGTTATATCCACGTGTGAGGACAAAACACGTAGTTTAATTTTTAGGAAAAATCGCATAAAAAGTTTTGAAAGTGGTACATACTTACACTTTAAATCTTGAAGTTCTTTTACTAACACTTTAAACCTTCAAGGTAACATAAAACTCTTCAACTTAGTTTACTTATTCATCAAGTAAAAAACTGACATGTACAATAGGTCAATGTGATGATGTGTCAGTTTTTTTCAAATAATAATTATTTAATTAATAAAATAACTAAACATTATATTAAAAATCGATAAAATAAATACAGAAACAGAACACTGACATAAAAATTCGGAAAATGAAATTAAAATCCAGAATATAATCCAAAATTTCAGAAAATAAAAGAAAATTTCAAAAGTAAGCTAGATTAATTAAAATACAGAAAATTAAGAAAATAAAACAAAATAAAATAAAGAAGATTAAATTAAAATACAGAATATTATATTAAAATACAGAAAATTAGATTAATTAAAATATAAAAAAAAATTAATTAGACTAAAAATATTAATTAAAATACAGAAAATTAAATGAGAATTCAGAAAATTAAACAAAAATTAAGAAAAAAACACAAACTTCAAAATGATTTTTTTTCCTAATTACAGGATTTGTTTTAAAACATACTTATCATTGACAAAAATAATTTGAAATATATCACTGATGACGATGGTGGTTACTCACATAACCATTATCAATGACGTTTTCGCATATCTCTAACGGTAGTATCATCGTTGACATATCTCTAACGATAGTTTTTGACATCATCATAAAATTTTGACAGTATATATTATCATTTTTAATGATGATGTTGGAAACTATCATTAGAGATATGTTAAAACTTCATTGTTAATGGTTATGTGAGAAACCACCATCTTTATTAGTGATAAGTTTGAAATTGTTATTGTCAACGATGATAAATCTGTTTTAAAATAAATATTGAAATTTTAAAAAAAAAAACCTATTATTTTTGTTAATGTTCTGAATTTTCATTTAAATTTCATTATTTTAATTTAATATCCATTTTTGGAATTTTTTTCTTTAATTATTTTTGTTAATGTTCTGAATTTTCATTTAAATTTCATTATTTTAATTTAATATCCTTTGTTTTTAATTTTATTTTTTTATTTTAATTTATTTTAATTTGTCTTTGAAATTTTATTTAATTTTCTGAATATTTTTTTTATTTTTGGAAAAATAGATAATTTCTGAATTTTATATTAGTTTTCTGATTTTATATTTATTTTTCAATTTTTAATATAAGTTTTATTTATTTTATCAGTTATATAATTATTATTTTCGAAAAAACTGATACATCATCACCTTAACCTATTGTACATGTCAGTTTCTTATTTGTTGAATAAGTAAATCAGGTTGAAAGTTTTTTATGACACAAATATCATTTTGAAGGTTTAAAGTGCTAGTCAATAGTTGTTCAGAAAGAAAAAAACTAGTAAAAATACTTACGGTTTAAAGTGTTAACTAGATTTTTGACCCGCACTTAAAAAACGCGGATATTATTTTTGTTGTTTTATCTACAAATAAATCGATAAGTCTTGTGCTTTGATGATATAAAATGTCACAGAACCAAGATCAATTTATTATGCGGGTATAAGAAATTTTTATTTTATAACGTCTCAGACAATTTTTTTATGTTTCTAAATAAATTAACAATGGTTGTACCTAAAATGTATACTTAGAAAGATTATATATTTAACAATTAAATGGTCCAATCTTTTTTTAGTTATGTGATTAATTCGTAATATCATTTAGCTACAAAATTGCAATCGCTCAGTCCGACCGTCCAACCCGCTTCGTAGCGGGTTGAGTCATTTTCTCGACTGAAAAATTTGACTCTTCTAACCTACAAAGAAAATATATTTTTGCAAAAAAATTTTTTATAAAATTGAAAAGAGAAACAGCCCATTAATGAAACTCATTATTATATAGTTTTATTCCTAAATAAAAATGACTAAAATGTCATTAAAGAAAAATTAAATTTATTCATAAAGTTAAAAATAATTTAGAAAAACATAAATCATTCAATGATCGTGTATTTTAGTGGTATTGATACATGTCACTTTCAATGTTTTTCACTCGATTTTTTCTTAATTTTTATATGACATTTTCTCTATATATTGGGAAACTGAAGCTGATATGATGACGTGCGTTAGAAAAACTCTACACAACAACATTTGTCAATCTCAAAGTTTCTACAAACAGTTGTAAAAGATATGTCACTGATTTCAAATCTCTTCACCGACAACACAATGGATGTTCTTACTTACGCAATTCTCGTTCTCACTACTGTCTTTACGGTTCTCTGGTTCCTTCTCAAACGCTCGCCGCAACCGCCTCTACCCCCTGGACCACGAGGGCTACCTATCGTCGGAAACCTCCCGTTTCTTAAACCAGACCTTCACACCTACTTCAGAGACCTCGCTCGAGAATACGGTCCAATCTTCAAACTCAACCTTGGCTCGAAACTAACGGTCGTGGTGAACACCCCGTCGCTAGCTCGAGAGATTTTGAAAGAACATGACATCAATTTCTCAAACCGTGACGTCCCTGTCACAGCTCGAGCCATTACATATGGTGGTCTCGACATTGTTTGGTTACCCTACGGTGCGGAGTGGAAAATGCTTAGAAAAGTGTGTGTTCTCAAACTACTTAGCCGCAAAACTTTGGATTCATTCTACGCTCTACGGCGCAAAGAGATCCGAGAGAGAACGAGGTTTTTATTCGAGAAAAGCCAAGAAGAGGCGGCGGTTAACGTTGGTGATCAGTTGTTCGTGACGATGATGAATCTGACCATGAATATGTTGTGGGGAGGTTCGGTGAAAGCAGAGGAAATGGAGAGTGTTGGAACGGAGTTTAAAGGAGTGGTTTCTGAGATTACTAGGCTTTTGGGTGAGCCTAATGTTTCAGATTTCTTCCCATGGCTAGCGAGGTTTGATCTTCAAGGGCTTGTGAAGCAGATGCGCGTGTGTGCTCACGAGCTTGATGCCATATTCGACGGAGCCATCGAGAAGATGCCAAAGCTAGGAAGTAAGGATGACGGTGAGTACAAAGACTTTTTGCAACAGTTGATGATGCTAAAGGACCAAGAAGCCAACTCGGAGGTTCCCATTACGGTTAACCATGTCAAAGCTGTACTCGCGGTAATTAATTGTTGAAACATTTTTTGTCATGTTTTTATTTATGCTCGCCTTTAGTCATAAAAACATTTCAAGGTTCTTTTTGAAGATCTGCCCTTATTAATTGTTTCATAATATGTTCTCAAGAGAATGGTTTTGATTCATGTGTTTGTCATATACTGAAGGATATGGTGATTGGTGGTACTGATACATCTACAAACACGATAGAGTTTGCGATGGCCGAGCTTATAAAGAACCCAGAGTCGATGATGAGAGCGCAACAAGAGCTAGACGAAGTTGTAGGAAAAGAAAACATTGTTGAAGAATCACACATCACTAGCCTTCCCTACATAACAGCCATTATGAAAGAAACACTTAGGCTTTACCCGACCGTCCCTTTGTTAGTCCCTCACCGTCCGGCTGAAACTGTTGTGGTCGGCGGGTACACCGTCCCTAAGGACACTAAGATTTTCATCAATGTTTGGTCTATTCAGAGAGACCCAAACGTGTGGGAGAATCCGAACGAGTTTCGTCCCGAGAGGTTTCTTGATAAGAAGTCTTGTGATTTCAATGGAACCGACTATAGCTTTCTTCCCTTTGGATCTGGCCGGAGAGTTTGCGCAGGTGTAGCACTCGCCCAGAGGATGGTTCTGTACACTCTTGCGACGCTTTTACATTCATTCGATTGGAAGATTCCGGAAGGGCATGTGTTGAATGTGGAAGATAAGTTTGGTATTGTCTTGAAGCTCAAAAACCCTCTAATTGCCTTGCCTGTTCCGAGGTTGTCTGATCCTAATCTTTATCTGTAAGAAGCTAATAAGATCGTTGTATTTATGAGTTTTCGAACATCATGTATGCTTTCTGTAATGAAAATAATAACCAGTTTCGGTAAAGAATAAATAACAAAATTATTGAACTAGGAGCATATGTTTAACTTACATGCTTTGATATTAGTTTCATATCAGTCCAAATTTCTTTAATAAAACCAAAAATAGAACAAATAAACATAAACTAGCTTGGGACTTTGAGGCATATACACTCTGAAGTAATTCAATCTATTTTGTGAATCCAAAACTATGCAATGTATCTTGTTCTCTATCCTGACTAAACAAATAGAATCACTGCAGAATCTCAGAGTACTAGACACAATGATTGAATATTTCAATCTCTCCCACTTATCGACATGGTCTTTCCCAATAGCTTCACAAGATTGTACATAACTCCTACTGATTTATCTTCCTCTGCACAATCAACACAACGGTGTTTATCGACATGGTCTTGAAGATCCCACACCATCTCCCTCATCCATCTCCCACCAATTACCACCATCTCCCATCTCATTTCCATCCTCAACCTCACCATCATCAGAATCAAACCCATAATCCCAATCCCCACAAGAATACCCTCTCTCCTTCTCCAAAACAGGATCATAACTCCACTCCAACTTCTTCAACACATCTCTATCCCTCCACTTCCCAACAACCTTCTCAACCTCCTTCTTCGCCTTCCCCATCAAAACCTCCTTCCACGAATACGCAACATCCGCCACTCTCTTCAACTTCCCTTCACTCAAATCCCCAATCACAACCGTCCTCAAACACCTCTCCTTGGCCTCCCACAAAACCTCACCAAAACCAGAATCATCAGACACGAGAACCAAACACTCAGCCTCTCTCCTATCCATCGCCTCAACCATACGCTCCTTCAACGCCCTATCCGCTGCCTCAGGCTCATCACTCACCATCTTAACCCAAAACCCGCCTCGCTTCAGCTCCTCAGCTAAACCGTAACCTTCTCTAGGAGTCAAAACACTCCTCGCAGCTCGCTTATACTTCTCCATCTTCATCGCGTACTTCGCCACAAGCCTCACTCTCTGCCCTCCTCTCGCGGACTCGATCTGCCTCACGCGCTTCTGATTCTCCGTCTCGTGAATCTGACGGAAATGAGTTATGAGCTTCTCGTTATGGTAGAATCTCCTGTCGCAGACCCCGCAGAAGTACGGCTCGGCCGGTTTAGATAAACCGGTTTTCTCTAACTGGTTAAGGAGTTTTCGCTCTTTTCTCTCTTCTCGGACTTGTGCGGGGACGTGGCTGAAGGCGTGGCGGTTCGCGTAGGCTACCATTAGTTTCACGGAGCCGAAGGAGGAGGCGGCGGTTCGGAGCTTGACGGCGGCGTCGTGGGGAGGGTGGGAGGCGGGTGGTTTGTTGTCGAGGTCCCAGAAGACGGCAACTCGGATTGGGGGTTTAGGGTTTAGTGAGGTGAAAGGTTTGATTTGATTGAGAGACGTGATTTGGGGTTTTGAGGTTTGGATTCTTTGGACGAATCGAGAAAACATTGCCGGAGTATACAAACTCGTCGGCAAAATCAAACCCGTATCTTGACCTGAATTGGATTTATACAATCCACTGTCATGCCCGAAGTCGAAGAGAAACAAAAGATCACTATAATATTATTTGAGAAGTCACTTTGCTTATGTGTTGGACTCATGTTAATTTTCACGATGGTTGATTAGTATGATACCCCTAATGAATTAAAAAATACATTTAAATATTATTATTTTCTTTCCAAAATTTTCCAAATAACAATATAATAAAAAGGAAACATTTATAAAGTTTACAAAACTATTTAAAACAAAAATATAAGTATATAGGAATATGGTTTCATAAAAAAGGAAAGTTCACAAAATAGTAATATTTAATTTAAATATATTTTAAATAACATAAAATATACTTTTGAAGTAATAAATACTTCATATCTATATTTTCTTAGATGAAAAAAAATATTTGTATATAATGTGATTCCATAAAATAATTTCACACAACTAATCTTGATATTAGAAAAAGAAATATTTTTTTTTAAAATTAAACAATAATATATATATATATATATATATATATTCAAAGTAATTATTTTTTTGGTATATATCTATCTATTTTATTAGAAGATTACATAAAATAATTAAGTAACATAAACTGATATATGTTTAATTGAAGTTTTTTTATAATTTTTATTCTTGAAATATATATTTTTTATTTTTTAGTATATTTATTTGACTATAATATCTCACAATACAACAAAACATATAAACTCTATTTTACTTATATAATACAATTTCTCAAAAACAATAACATTTTTACTGCATATTTTAACAGATATTAAAAACAAAACTAAAAATAAATTTTAATAATAATTTTTTTTTATTAAATAACTATAATTATTTTAAAATATCATAACACTATATAATTTAACAAACTAGATATAATATATTTTAATTGTTAAAATTATATGTTTTCTTAATAACTCTTTTGATTTTTAATTTTCTGTTTTTATGTTTGTGGAACTTAATATAACCATAATTAAAATACTTAAGCAAATCATAATCCTTATTTTTAAAATTATTTAATACAGTTTTTCATCCAATCAATCTAAATATTGTAAATATTGATATGTGTTCATAAGCTTCCAAAAATGTATTAGTCACTTATGTATGTAATTTAGTATCAGACAGTTTAGTTTTTTTTTTTCTTTCTAAGCACAAAAAATCTTAAGTTATACATAATCTTAGTAGATATACTTATATTTCTAAGATAACAATCGGCATCAATGCAAATAAGACAATTAATCAAACCTTAATATATTTCGGATAAAAAGGATTATAGTTGAATTCAAAGAAATAGATAGAATCTAATATATCCAAATGATAACTAAATCAACCGTAAAAATAATAAAACTAACAAAATATAACATATCTAAAATTATATATATAATTAAATTAATATAATATTATTAATATAAATTATACCTACAAATTATAAATTAATTTAAAATTTAAAGTAAATATCAATAAAATATTATAATATATTTATTTTATAGATATTTAAGTCCGTGCATGAGCACGGGAAAATCACCTAGTATTGAATTATATAAAGAACCCTATGTTAATAATTGTTTACAGTTTCTTCTTTAACTTCTATATGGAAAAAAACATCTAGAAAAGAAGGTGTATTCCTCAAGTATTTGGATTTTTTTTGAAATTATATTTGTTATTGAGTTTTATATGGTTTTAATTGAACTAAAAATATGATAGTTTCAAAAGATTTTTATATCCACTCTAAAATTCAAAAGTTTATATTTCATTAAGAATTACAGCAAAACACATTAAAATCACAATAAATTTTAAAATTACCTATTTAAAAATAGTTCAAATAATAAGGAAAATTGAAATAGTTTCTAAATTGTAAATTTGAAATTATAGATTACTTTAAAATGTAGAATTTAAAAATGTTAACAAAAAAATGTAGAATTTAATAAAAAAAGATTTTTTATGTTAATACACATCATTTAAAACATTTACTATGATCAATTTATGGATCAAACGTAAAAAAAAATTAGTTGAAAAGAATAAAGTAGATGAAAACATATTTAGATAATACTTTTGTTCTATACTCTACCGAACACCGTTCACGCTGTAGTAAACTAGTGGGAAAAAAAAAAGTAAACTGGTGGCAAAATAAATGTCTTAAATCAGCCAAAATTAGGGCTGTAAAAAAAAGAGCGCGAAACTGAAAACAATGGTTTAATCCCAAACCCAACAAAAGTTTTCTCTCAAAAGTGCAATTTCTTGAAACATACAAAGAAACACACAACTCTTGCTTCGTCTGTCAACTTACACAACATACAAGAGAAACAAAGAAAGATCAAGAGACCGAAACATAAAATGAAAACAAACAAATAAGATTTTAACAGCAGAAGAGGTAATAAATAACAAAGAAACACTAAACCGACTGTCTGGAGATGAAACCACCGTGAACCAAAACCAATGTACAGTAACACAACGTGAAAACCACACAGGACTGATAAACTTCACCAGTCACCAGTTGCATTACGAGGAGTTTTTCCATTGACAAACTCTGCAACTGGATAGAGTCTGTCGGCAAAGGTGGATCATTTGAGCTTCCTGAACTTTCTGGAAATGTCGGTGACTGATCTGAAGATGTGCTTCCAGAGCCTTGAGATGCATTACGGTCTTCCTTGTCCTCGTCAGTTTTCTTCTTGCTCTGGTTACTACTGTCTGCGCCATCTGCACCGTCTTTCGAAATGGATTTACCCACTTCAGGCCGTGGTTCTACTCCAACCCGCCTTAGGTGCAGCTACACATATGAATATAATGTTTTAGTGCAACAACAACATGATGTTTCTGTACCAAGCAAATCAAATGCCATAGAAATGGGGATTGTCTAGATGCAGAGTACACATATGTTACCTGTAGATGCAAATTGACTTCATCAGGCCGTGATAGAAATGGGAAATCTCCTCCGGACTTTAAGTAAGCTCTCCTTGCTTCAGGATATCTCTCTGCAAGTTCATCTTTCAGAGCTTGCGGAATTGCGCAGTAATCATTGGTCTGATTTAGAGGGGAAAACAGCATCGTTAGATGATAAAAACATTATCTTGCATTTTAAGAAAAGAGTTTGTGAAAACCTACATCCATTATAGTGATGAATGAATCAGAGTGTGGTAGAGATCCCACAGAAGCAGCCTCTACTGTTAACGTTAGCCGAGAAGCCAAATCATCTTTTGACAATGTCTCAACCTAAAATCAGAGCAAACCAACGAAACCAGGATGATAAGTTCATCTCGAAAACCTTTCTTCACATGTTATTTAAAATATTCAAGAAAATATCGAAAAGACATTTAGCAGGGGAACCACCTGAGAGACAGCAAAGTCGACAGAGTCAGCGATAAAGGGTTCGTGAGGTCCATCACGAATTCCTGTTAAGACGTATCGTTTCAGCAAAAAAGAAGGAGACCAACTTACACTGCACATTGCATCACAAAAGACGTAGAGAGTCAGTACAGGTACCTTAGGAACAAACAAGAAAAATAAAGAGGGAACAACTCTATAAGAGAGACATACAAAGGAGCCCATGGCATTGCAGCAGCAAAACTGCGAGTATCCAAATATGTATTCGATAGAACCAATGATTTAACCCGTCTTGGTCGGTGATGAGCAAAGAGTTGTGCTAAGAAGCCTCCAAGGGAAGTACCGTAGAGATGCACCTGTGACACATTAGCCAAGTACAATCACTTGCATTGCTATATCTCTTTCCGCTAGAGTCATAACGGTTGATTTGTAACATAAAGATCTTACGTGATGAACATCAATGGTGTCCAAGAATTTCTCAAATGCTTGAATCCACTCATGATAACTCCAAACCCGTGGAATGTCAACTGAAATTACCCGATAACCCTGGAATTGCAGATATACCAACATTCAAGCAAACAATTTCAACACTTTATGAGATATATAGTCACCAAAAAAGACAGCAACATATAAGGACCTCAGTTAGCAGAGAAGCGTTAAAATACTACGTCGTATTCAAATTACCTTCATAGACAATGCCATGATCTGTTTATAGTAGACATCTGCAGTTCCTGCGATGCCAGGAATACAAATGAGTGGAGGAACAGTCTTTGGACCATAGTCATAGTAACGCCATTGCTTTGTCCCAATCTGCGGTTTAAAATGCACATAAGGATAAGATACAAAACCATTTATATCCTCAGAGAAAATGACACTCCAAACATAACCAAATATAAATCCTTCACTCTGATGCACACAAGTTCAACAAAAACATGTCTTTACAAACCAAAACTCATAGAATGACACAATTATAGAACCATCCGACCAAATGAGAACAAGAATCTCAAAACCCATGATTTATAGATTATCCCAGGCTACTCATAGATCAAATCAATGACAACCTCTGAGACTCTATCGCTAAACTAGAAGGTTTCTGAACAAAACCTAAACAAAAGAATAAACAGATGCATTCACAAACCTAAGCTGCATATGAAATTCAAACCCCAAATCATATGAAACTATCAGCTGCATAAACCCATAATATGTATGTATGATGAAGAGAAACAATTGAACTACTCAACATACATAATTCTCCTAAACGTAAGAGTCAAAAGCACTAAAACCCATAAAGAATTTTAATCGAAAATCAATATCAACAGAGCTCGAGATTAACCTAGGAAATGCAATAAAAAATCGAAAGTCAAGGAAGAAGAAGCTTACGGGAATCTTGTGAAGAGGAACCTGAGATTTGAAGTAGACGTAATCTCCAGGCGCCGAGGAGACGCCTTTCATCTCCGATCCGAGATTTTCCACATCCGAATCGATCAAAATTTATTGATTTTATGTATTTAGTTTTTTTTTTTCTCACTTCTATTTTTCGATGGAAATATTTAACGGCGAGATGATAACAGCGTTTTACGATATGAAATTATCAAACCGCCCGTCAACGTTAACGCCGTGACTACAGCTGTCATTATCATCTAAAATGGTCATCATGACTCATCAATTTCACATGGTTGGATTCGTTTTCGGTTATTCCTGGGATAATCCCCCAAAAGATTTGGCACATATTATTATTTTTACTTTGGATTGCTTTTTACTGAATTATCTATACTACTAGGTAATAATTCGCGACTTAATTTTTACTTTAGTTACTTTTAAGATAAAACTAGAGCTGGACCCGTCCGACCGGACGGTATTTATTTTATTTTTATATAAATGAGATTATTTAAATGTCTATCTGTTAATATTTTTAAATATTTATCATATTTCTAAATTTTTATAAACACAACAATCAAATAGTTTCTGTGCTGTAAAAATAGTGATTCGTGTCCATTATTAAAACTTTTGAAAAATTAATATTGGCCTATTAATAGTTTGAATAATATTTCTTGTAACATGAAATTGTTTGCCAAATGTAAAAAAAAATTAAATATTTTGATCAGATATGGATAATATGGTAATATTTAGATACGTTATAAAAAAGAGTATTTGGTTATAAACATTAAACATTGTTTTACAAGTAATTCAATATTTCAATTTCAGTATTAAATTTTCTTGTTGAAATAATTAATAGCAACCAAAATGGTAAAACATAGATTTTAGAAATTCTTGAAAAATATATAATCTTAGGTGAGATTTAATTATATTAAAATAATATTCAATTACAAATAGTTCACGTTGTTTATAAGTAGTTTAAATATATTTAAAATCTTATTGTTCAAAATAATTAATGCTAAGTTAAACTTACATGTTAGGAATATTCATAATTTTTTTTTTAAAATTTCGAATTTCAACTTGAATTTTGTTCAAAATAATTAATGGTAACGTTATAGAAATTTAATATTGTTAAAATCGATATCCTAAAAATCAGCTAGTTTATTTTAGGGAATATATTAAACACGAAAATTAAGCTAAAATTGATTTAGGAAATTGTTTAATAAATAAGAAAAGACAATGATTACTTACAAATAAGTTCATTTAATTACTTCAGTGGCATGCTATTGTAAATAAAAGTGAAAACTAAGGGATATTTTATATGGGTACTTCTCTTTTAATAATATAGATGATATTATGTCTGTTTAGCATGAATATTGGTTCAGTTTTACGTTGTTTTTTTAATCTCCTAAAATATAACTATCGTTCTAATTCTATATTCATTTTGGTTTGTTTGATTTAAATTTTTGATGTTTTTTAATTTTTTGATGATAACCAAAAACTATTGTTATTTGTTTGGTTTCGTTTTTTATAAATTTTAGACATTTTTGATGTCGAACTAATAGTTTCCTTTTATAATTTCTAAGGACATGTAAAATCAAATAAAATTTAAATAAATATTTGAAAAAAGAAAATAAATTATTGACATAAAACATTTCACTACAATTTGAGCGATTGTGAAAGAAAACATTAAAAAAATTCAACTTCAATAAGAATTAAAATTCTCACTTATGGTGAATATTTAGTTATATAGTCGCTCATGTCAATATGTACATGTATGTATATGTAAAAGTATATAAATGTGATGATAAATATATGAATATACCGTTAATTAAGATTTAAAACATTTTTGCTTAAAATAACACATGATAGTAAATTCTTAAATAAAATTAAGTAAAAAAAAACCTAGAAATTAATAACATTTTTTCATATGAAGAAAATCAAATTGTACCTAAATTCTGTTTTAATCGATTTTGTGATTTTATTTCTTTTTAAAGATTTTCTGATTTCTGATTTTTTTCTACCAATTTGACTTTTTTTCTAATTTTTGGTCTGATATGAAAACTTTATAAAAATGTTAATATTTGACTAAATTAACGATCCGACTTTACATGTGGTGTTTTTCACCTCAGCTTATTTAATTCATAATCAATCACCTTATTTGTTGTTATTGTGTACCGAAGCCTCAACCATGACCAACTTCGGCAAAGTACGAAACTTTCAATTTCTACAAACATTTTCATCACAACATTTTAGCTGATGTGAATCTTAATGATTTTGTAATTTTCTTACAAGAAAGATATTATTCATTAGTTTCACGTAGAAAGATTTAATTTATTAATACAAAAACAAAAATGTTAGAAAATGAATTAATTAAAAAATAGTGTATAAACACATTGAATAATGAATTTAAAAAATAAGAGTGTGAACATATTTATTGCCAAATGGTTGTGAAACCGGCACGTGTCAGTTATGGTGTGAACGAATTTATTACAATGTTTCTTTTTTAATATATAAGGGATTATTTGCAAGTAATTTTTTCGCAACATAGCCTCACGTTAAAACTTAGAGTAGTTAATAATATTGATATTCTTAATAAATAACTAAATTTGTTAACATATAATTGGCCATAAGGATCAAATGGGTTTCGAAGTCTATGGATTACGAGCGTATATAAGGAGCCTCTCAGCTTTGCATGATGAGATGGAATGTTTACTTTGTCAGCCTTATGTATCAAAGACAAAAGGATAACTTTGATACGGTTTGAGACGGATTACTCGGATCAAGTGGACATGACTATTAAGCCGGAGGATTGGGCGACTTTTAGGACAAATATCGAAGTTATCCAGAGATTACATTAAGACTTTGAGAATATGAATTTGTCTCATATTCCCCAAAGTAAAAACGGTCTAGCGGACGCGTTAATAAAATAAGCAAAGAAGATATACATGGCTTGACTGACCACCATTTGATCTAATTTAAATAAATGGTTGACAAAAAAAAGTTATCCATAAATTAAAAACAAAATTCAGTTATTTGATATTTATCCCTACCTAACATATATTTTTATTGTGTTATAAAATCTTCCTTCACCTTTGAAAAATAATCACATCTGTTAATATATAATTAGTTATAAATTAAGAACGATTTTCATTGTTTTGATAATAATGTTTATATAAAAATTATATTTTTAAGCAAAACTATATTTTACATGATTAGTCTGTTTATAAAAATTAAAGAAAGATAAATCCCTACATATATATTGTCTATACAATTTTAGGAAATTTTTCTAAACTACCACTTTTTAAGTACACTTCCTTAAGCACATTTATCTTTGATTGTAAAAAGTTAAATAGGCACTTATAACCCTAGAGTTAACTAATCTAGAGTTAAGACATAACTTGTTTTTCCGCACCCACAAACGTAGGTTTTGCGGTTGGTAGCAGTTGTTGGCATTTTGCAACAATCACTCAAACCGCTCTGAACCGCTTCAAATCGCTCTAAACCTCTTAAATTCAAAAGTTGATTCCAATTATTGTTTGCAATTGCGGGCGGCTGCGAGAGCGTGATTTTTTTTTTCTTTTTATAAACAATATAAATGCAAAATAAAAATATTCAATAAGATTTTTAAATTGGGAATATTTTTAAGTTGGAAATATAAAAATACTAAAATATATCTATTATATTTTAATTAATATTAAAAAAAATTAAATAAAAATATTTTCAATAATTATAAAATTTTAAGACTAGAACCTTATAAGTATAATTTTATATTTATTATAATATTATAATTTTGGTATTTTTATAATTATAAAAAATTGAAATATTGTTAATTTATATTTTAACCGCTACTGCATTTGGTAGTTAATCAGTCATAAATATCCGCAAACGCACAAATTTCTAACCGCTGTACCAGTCGTACAAATCAATTAAACCACAAGAAACCGCAACCACCCACATCCGCAAACTCCCACAAACCCTTAGAGTTTAGATTTGAGGGTTGGAGTTTTGGAGGGTAAGTTTAGAATTTTAATAATAATATAAATATATATATATATATTTAAATTTAAAATAAAAAAATAAAAATAGTTTCAGAAAGTATTTTCGGATTTGAAAAATAATATCTAAAATAATTTTAGAAAATTAATTTAAAAATCAAAAACTAAAATTGAATTTAAAAATTTATAAATTCAAAAACATAAAAATATATTTGTTAATTTTTTTAATTTTTTTAAATTTTTTAAATAATTATTTATATTTATAAATTAAAGGTATATATATCTTTTGTCTCCTTTATGAAGTCTCATATTTAGGTATTTTTGAAAATGTTCATCTAGAGAAGGTTAACATGAATAATGATACCAAATGGAAGGTAAAAGTGAAGCTCCCCATAATTTTATGTATGCATTAGTGTTTTCAAATATATTTTTAGGCAATAAAAGATCATTTTATTATACTGAAAACATTGTCATATTTAAAATGATATTAAATTAATTACTAAATATTTCAAACATATGATTGTTTTCAAATTGATTTTACGTAATAAAATAATTTATCTTATGATGAAAAACTTTGTACAAAAAAAATTTATTTAACTTATCATTAAATATTTTAAATGTATAAAAAATAAATTTTATTAATATGTTTAATTGATAGTATATCTATCTATAAATATTAGTTAAACTATTATATCTGTATTTGCGGATAGAACGCCTAATTATAATATATTAATGATTGCTTACAGCACAACGAACAAAGGGATCAAAATAAAATTCAATTACTGTTACAAGCGTTGATTGTTAGAGTTATGATTGATTTAGGTTGACTTATGGGTGTAATTGATAGTTAACTCAAAAATGTTACCTTCATGCATCACCTTTAAGTTTGAGTTATCATGTTTTATGATTGAGTTGTAATTTTGAGTTATCTCTTTTGTAAATTTACTAACTCAAAAGTTAACTCAACATCAAGAAAATCTATGTTTCAATTGGTGACATTTAGTATTAAAGTTTTGCACTCAGATTTGTAATTCGATGTAAATTGCAGTAAAATTATGTGGTAAAACGTGTAAGTTTATGTGATATGTTGTCCATCCATCCATCCATCAATGTTCTGTTTTATGTAATATTGTGTGATGCCGTGGCGTTATAAATAATTGGAGTCATATATGATCTACCTAGAT